CTTTTTTCTTTCCTTTTTTAAATCCTTGCCGGAAAAAGCATAAACATCTTACATTAACCATTCATTCTTATCCTCTATTTTTTTCTTCCTTCTTACTCTCCCTCTATCTCCTTTCCGTCCCTCAAGTTCCAAAAAGCTTAAACATTTAGGAAATCACACAAAAATTGTCATTTACCTTTGCATGTCTTCCCATTGTATTTTCCCTTGCATTTACATACAGCTTTTCCATTATCATTGATGCACGTTCCACCATTATGACAAGGGTTTGATTGACAGGGATCAATCACTGAAACACGTTAAAAAACAGCAAGTGTTATTCATGCAAGTCTTTGCTTTTGTTTGAGAGGCAGCATTCCTTGTTGGCCAACGCTGATGTCACTTTAGGAACGCAGGCACGAGACAAAGTACATTCATATATTCCAGTGAATGTGCATGTGTAATTTAAAAGTCTCTATTGTTGTAGTCGGGCATTCCTTATTTGAACATTGATATTTGATGTTTTGACACTGAAACAAGACTAACCAAGGCGTCACCAAGATCACAGCCGTAATTTACCAATTCTAAGTAAGGGCACAGCTCAAAATCTTAGAGTAACGGGATAAAAACCCTTGAATTAAGGAAGAAACCTAACAAACGCTGCTTACATGTGATGTCGAGTCCAGGAATCTAACTCGAGACTTCAGAGAGACTCTATTCTGAGTGGTTTTTTTTTCATATTTACTATATATATTTCGTACTTAGTTCACAATTCGTTCCAGTGTGACCGCCTTCACAGATACAACGTGTGGTCCCATCTTCAGCTGCAACACATTTGCCATTATTTTGACACGGATTCGGCAGACATGGATTTTTTTCTGTTGAGGTAAGCACCAAGAGATACATGAATACTATGAATAGTTGAGTAATATGAGCCAATCAATCAATCGAAGACTCTATTTAAACAGGGTGGCCCATTCAGCTACCTGTCTGATATCCAAAGGGCCCTGTAAAAGTGATACTGTGATTAGAAGTGTGTCAAGTGACAGATGGAAGGGAGAGGTACAGCTAAGCAGGAGAAATGTGTCGGGGAAGGCCTGGGATGCTATTAGCCATTATTCCAAGGTTACGAAAAAGACTGGGTCGAGTTGACATTGCAGTGCATTGTGGGTCATATTTCCATGATGGTGTCTATTTCGTCCCTAAACAGTCCCACAATGCACTGCGAATCAAACTATATAAATTCGAATTATTATCATTATTATTACTATTATTATTATTATTATTATTATTATTATTATTATACGCCCTTTTATTAAACAAAGCAACTAAGCAAGGACTAATGTGATAATAATGGTTGGCAAATTATCATCGCAATGCTAATGCTTGTAAACACCAACTATTGTTATAAGGCATAATGAAGAAAATATGCTAGCAACCAAGCTACTCCACATAGTATCATGTTTAATTTCTAAGAAAATGTCCTATGACTAATATAATATTGTTTTTACTAACCTTCACAGTGTTTTCCCGTTGTTCCTGGCTGACATGTGCAGTCATACTCCCCGCCTTCCAGCTCCTTGCACACACCATTGTTCTTACATGGATTTGGATGACAAGGATGAGGGATTTCTGTCAGAAAACACGTTTCAATTCAAATAATTAGTTATTAACCACGTGCAGCATACGAACAAACATCGTATGAATATCAGTGTTTAGTCTGTCAATCGACATCTATATTAGTGCAAACCGGTATAGAGGTGTTGCACCACCACGTGACGGCAGCCATGTTAGATGGCATAAGAATACAATCGTTTCAAATAAGAATTCAATTTCCATCTAACCAGAGGTAGTCCAACCTGCATTATGGATGTGGGCAGGTGATGGTGCAAAACCTTTATAGGGTAGATTTCGTATGACTGTGAAAAGCTCGGTGCCGTTTGCGTGCCTTGCCAAGACGGTCACACTTTTTTTTCTTTTCGCAATGTGATTAGTCTAGCTTACTTATGTCCGCCCCGTGTTCGTGCCGTTTTTTAATATTTTTGAGCATCATAATACTGAAGGAAGCAAAAATTGGGGATGGGTTTGACTTACTTCTACAATGGAATCCGTCTCCAAAGTAACCATCAATACAGATGCACGTATCGTTGAGACACTTGGCGTTGACGTCACAATGTTTACAAATATCCTCTGAAAATATAAGACGGAGTTATATGGTTTGTTTGTTTGCATGTTTGCTTGCCAAAATTCAATAGCGACAAATGCTAACATTATAATTGACTTTCTCAACAAACAAAATAATATTCAAATGTCATTACGTTCGCAGTTTGCTCCCATGAACCCAGCTTTACACAGACACAAATAGTGGAGGTAGCCTGAGTCCCAGTTATCAGGGTAAGCGCTGTAACCGCTGTAAGAGTCAACGCAGACACCATCGTTCTCGCACGGATGATTATAACATGGATGAGGTACTGTTAAGAAAATAAATTAGATATAGACCATCATAGATGCAGCATCTTGGAATGCAGCTCAATCTGGGGGACAAAATAATGGTTTCAATTCTCAGGAGATTGGAATGCTTTGACGTCACATGCAAGGGGTCTATAAAAAAATCGGATGCAGGGATGCAAAGCGGAATTTCTTTAGAAAATCAATAAAAATAATGATGATGATAAAAATGATAATAATTTATGATTTTATATAACGCTCTTTTCCATATGGATATGTTCAAGGGCGCTTTGTAATGAGTAATGAATGAGAACGTAAGTACAGTTTCAAACATTTTTACACATGGCGCCCGGTGTCTAAGTTTCCTTTTTATTCACTTGTCGTAACTTGGTATTTCCATATTCCAGTTTAAACAACCGCTCCGAGAGTTAAACGAGAAAACAATCAGATGGAGTCTTCTAGAGAGGGCATATGTTTTGTCGGTCTTTTGGGGAAATAAATGTTGAAGGGGAAAAGGCTTTTTTCTTCTTCAAGAAGCACGGGATATCTGTAAGGCTCGTGGCATATGCAATGCAAATCATTAATTCAGTTTGACATAATTTACCTTCACAAATGTGTCCTCTGTAAAGTGGAGGACAAACACACTTATAATGACCAGAATCGACGCGACAATGTCCTCCATGATGGCACGGGTTGGGATGACACACGTGAGCTATAAGAAAGCATTTCATTAGGTATTCATTTGCAGAAGAAATTTTGACAAAATCACCTCACTAGAGGCAAACACCATATCTAAATTATAAGGTCTTCTAACAAGCTGACAAACGTATTTGCTGTTATGCAATTTTTTTCCCATTACAGACCACTACATTCCCCAAGAGTATCCTTCCTCGGATAAACGGTCGCCGATTAGGAAACACATGTATATTAATATAGATTTAGTCATACTCTTACGAAGGCGGTCCAGTTTAGCTGAGGCTATTTTAAGTGGAGGCCTGTGTTACAACTCAAACAAAGAATCTTATTCTCAAGGGAATGACACGTGGTCTGTGTAATTAGAAACAAATTCACCATGACGAAATAGGTCTGTTCTTGAGTAAGTCAACTTACATTCACAGTTTCTGCCAGTGTATCCTACTCTACAAGAACACTTGTATCCAGTCTCACTTTCGTGGCATGTTCCAGCATTCAGACATGGGTTGACGTAACATTGAGCGGGCTCTGTTGGAAAATAATTGCATCACAAAAAAACTTTATTAATTTACTGATTTTCTTTTTCTCTTTTCAAGCCCATCGAGACAACAGTCGCGATAGGGAAATCGGGCAGTACTGTCGTCACTTAAAGTATGTAAAGTTTCCGTACGATTCATTTGATAGGTGGGAGTCTTTTGCCCAATTTTTCGATCAGCACGTAGCAATGACAACATTGGTAACAGAAGCAGACGTAGTTTGCTGTAGTTTAAATAATCTTTAACGTTTAAGCCATTCGTGCATTAGTTGTTTTCTTTCCCTGGTCAAACAATACGAGAAAAATTCGCCTAATACAAACTTTTGTATATCTCCAATGGTTTTATTTGTAAACACGACGCGTTTGCAAATTTCCCGCCAAACTTCCGAGCATGCGCAGTACGTTTTTCACCCGTGTCTAGCACTAGATAAAATGACAGCATTGCTATACCTGTACACAAAGTTCCCTTGAAATTTGGCGGACATACACACATGTATTTGTCTCCCGCAATTTGCTGACACGAACCACCATTTTTACAAGGGTTAGGATTACAGCGATTAAAACCTGTAAAAAAATGAATTATACTTAAACCGCGATTACACGGAGCAAATTTTGCAACTTGTCTAGCAACAGGGTTGCAGCACAAGTTGCAAGAGTACGGAGACGCAATCGTTGCCAAAAGAAGAAACAAATTCTACAAAATGCAACGATTGCCACAACTTATCGTGCAATATTTTTTTCAAATTGCGCTGCATCTACACGCTACAATGCTCCATGCAACTTTTTTAGCAATGCCGTTGAGAAACAAGATGCAGAGAAAATTGTTCGATGTAATTACAGATTAAGACGACCTACCGATCACTTTTACTCATGAAATAAAGACAAACACACGAAGCTCTATAAATTACGATATAAATTATTCGCCGCCATGTTTAACCCCGGTCGAGCCATAATACCTTGCGATTCAAGATGGCCGCCGTATCGTTGTAGAAGTCTACTCTCGGTGCAATTTTTAATAATTTAGAATACAGCCAAAGCCTTCTTGCTCTTCTCACTACATATACCTTCACAGTGTTCACCAGTGAAACCCTCCTTACAGTCGCACAAGAATCCTGTCTCTGAGTCGGTCTTGGTACACGTACCACCGTTCTTGCATGGACTTGGGTAACACGGGTTGGAATCTAGAATTTTTTAGTATTTAAAGGCATTATATTATCAATCAGTAGCATCAAATCTATACAAAAATAAAGATTTTTTTATGGAATGAAGAAGGAGCAAAGCTACCGAAACCTATCAATATATACACTCGTTAACGTTTTTTGTGGGGAAGAAAATTTAAAGCAAACTAAATAAAGATAGGATCTACTATCATTTATTTGTCATTTATCTCTTTTACTCCGACGAAGGACTAGCGTCCGAAACGTCAGTAAGTTTTTTCATCTTTTCACGGTGCATAATTTACCTTTTTATCATTACTGTTTCATTAGAAACACCGACACAGCTCACACTAGTTTTTAGCTAGTTATCTCTTCTTATTATCCATTTTAGTTAACTAACTATCACGAGTGAAGTAAAACCACTCTATACAGATGCATTCTATGAAAACTAGTCTTAAGGGTGAACTAAGTCACGAAGTATCATGTGATACTTACTCTCACAGATTGTACCAAGAAAGCCCTTTGGACACACGCATCTAAAGGAATCGAGTGTCTCCACACATGTAGCTCCATTCATACATGGCTCTGATGAACAGTAGTTGTGAGCTACAGAAAAGAACAGAAATGGTGTCAGAAATGATAGGGCAGAAAAACGGTTTTTGGCCTTTCGCCATAAGGACAGCTTTACGTTTTTAAGCTCAATATTTTGTAAACACGCTCTTTTGGAGCCAAAAAAAAACAAAATATCAAATGCGACCAAAATTTATTGAATGCGTATTTGAGTTACAAAGCCATGTACTTTGGGAGAGGTGACATTTTGATCAGCAGAAAAACTGACATTTTCGTGAATACTAATAAGTAGATTTACTCTAATTTGACAAAATTTCGTCCACAAGTTTCGAGCAGCAGTGACACAAATGAAACACTTGAAAATTTGGAGTATTAAACTCAGTTAGATAAAAAATCGTGAAAGTAGCGGGCTTGTCGTTTTTCTGCCCTGTCGTCAGAAATATCTAAAATTGTTCCATTTCAGACCACGTGTCATTCCCCAGAGTATCATTTCTTTGTTTAACGGTTGCGCATGAGAAGACACATGAATATGGATACAACTCAAATAAAGAATCGTATTCTCAAGAGAATAATACGTGGTCTATAGTTATTGTTGTGAGGTTACCTTCGCAGTTCTTCCCTCGTAGTTGCTTAGGGCAAATACAGAAGTAGTCATGCGGTAGCCGTACCCATATGCCACCGCCTTGGCAAGGATTGAGGTGATCTAAAAAAACAAAGGCGTTAGGAAATTTATCTGTTAAAATCGAACAAATACACATCAGCTATAGACCCTTCATGTGACGTCAAAGCAACAAAAGAATTCTAATCTCCTGAGAATTGGAACCTATTGTTTTCTCTCTCAGAAGTACTGCAAGGGGTCTATTGAATCTAAGTCAGGATACGCTAACTCACAGATTGAGCCCTGAAACAGCCTCTAGGCTGATTTTAGTTGGGGCACGGCTAACTTACAGATCAAACCCTGCAACAACCTCTGGGTTGAACTAAGTCGTGGCACAGAACGAACAGGAATTTAGTTTTCTGGAGGGAAGAAAACAGGGAACCCGGAGAAAAAACCTTGACTCATGGTGAGAGGCGGACGCCAAACAAATTTAATTCAGCCCATAAAAGACGAATTACTTTGCTTCTCTTCTTCATTGCACAAAAACTGCTGAATATACTTCGCACTTCAGGCTAAATTTTCAAAGAAACCTGCTAATAGTAGGGTGCCATGTCATGTCTCCGCCCTAGTGGGGGCATTTTTCAAGGGTCATAAAATTCACTTTTCACCTTTTTGAAGTTCAAAAAAGTAGCGTATAGTAGAAATTAGTAGAATCGCTCTTTTACATGTGTATATATTTGCATCGTACTTTTAAAAACGTATTTGAGTGAGTACTTGAAAAAATCAGACGTATTCAAAAGAATAATCACTCACAATTTCTATAGAAATGAATAGCACAACAGATAATATTATAAGCAGGTATATAACGGGGAAAATAGAAGATATTTTGTCTATAATTTGTATATAAGTAATTTTATATACTCACATGGATGTCGCATATGATAATGAGAGACATGATAGCTGGGAGGAACTCCAACAGGCACAGGGACAGGCTTAGGTACAAACTGTACGGACAGAACGGGGAATGGTTTGGGTACATAATGAACTTGATGATGAAAGAAAGGTTTCTCGATGACATGACTGAGAGGAGGTGGTCCAGGAAAGTTGACTGAATGTTCCGGTCCAAAAAACTGCCTTCTTTCTCCCTTTGTTGACTCGGTCTTCTCCACCGCAAATTTTTTGGATTTGTCTTCGTGTTTTTCGTTTGCTTGTTTAGATTTCTTGACCTCCTTATGGTCGTTGTCCCCGGCGTGGTCGGGGTTTGTCGATGTCTTAGATTTATGTTCATGAGAAATTACGTTTTTAAACAAACTAAAACAGACTACAAGCACGATGAATGACCAATATATCCGTTTAAACATTTTGCTTTCTTTAGCGTTTCTTGTAACGCTAATGAGTTACCTTATCCATTATAATATAATAAAAACAACGACAAGAGAGTTTTGAAGTGAATTATTAAACACGTTTGGGTTTGGAAGGTGGTTTGGTGGGTTGTCTGTAAGTCAACAGGTTAACGAATTCAAGAACAATGACCCTTAACGTCATATTAATTGGAGCTCAAACTAGCCAATCAAATCCCTTAGACAACGTCCTTTACTAAGATATCTACAAGATTTGTTTATTTTTGGTATTATCATAATGAACCATCTCTTGAAGATTTCAAGATTTTTGATCTGAAAAAAATTAGGTTTAAATTTAAGTGGTAATATCTCAAATCAATCATTTTAAAAGATTTATATTGAGATTAAGCGTTAAATTATTGCAGCAAAAAACTATTATCCGAATTGTATGGTGATTTTATTAAACCGGGGGGGGGGGGGGGATGTTTAATATATTTTAGCTTTATTGAAATAATGGTTCCAAAATAATTTCAATTTTTATGGCCCTTTTCCAAATTTGAATTCCCCTTCGATGTCAAAATTCTACTTGATTTCAAGGCCGGCTGTTCTAAGTCAGGGCCTGGCTAACTCACATTTCAAACATATAACAAACTCTGGGCTGATCAAAATCAGGGCATGACTAACCTACAGAAGGAATTGGAATTTAGCCTGCTGACTGAGTTTTGTGTATCTAGGAGAACCCGGATAAAAACCCTCAAGTTAATGGAGAAACCTAACAAACTCTACTCACATGTGATGTTGAATCCCAGGAATCGAACCTAATTTAGACCCAGGAGAAAAACCCTCGAATCAAGGGAGAGACCTAACAAACTCTACTCACATGTGATGTTCAATCCCAAGAGACACCAAAGATGAGAGGCGAGTGTACTAAAATCGCTACGCCACTCTTGCCATGGATTTATATTAAAAGCTATGTTTATATATAGAAATRTATTCAGCTTAATCGACTTGAGTTGTGATGTACTCATACAATTATTATACAGTGGATCGATATAGTAAAGTGTCAAAGTGTGTGGATTATATTCGTTCAATATAAACCATTTTACTCAAATAAAAGAGGCGTCGAGCGTACCGTACATAACATAAACATTATCATTATCTATTGATATCAATATAATACATATATAATATATATATTGGCATGCTTCCTTTTGACTTTCCATAAAATATCAGACAATTTACATAAGATAAACTTAGGGTTTTCTTGATTTTAATCTACGCCATCGCTCTATAGCTAACATTTTATACTATTTATTTTTTATTAGCATATTTGTTTTTTTATTTTTTTAATTATCTTGGTTTGTTTGCTATGTTTTTAGCAATTTTTATCTCTTGTTACATTCTCATTTTTACATTCTCAATTTTTATCTCTTGTTACATTCTCATTTGTAAAAATATTATTTCGTATTTATCTAAAGTCTTTTGGTAGATAAATATCGATCAGCCTAAATATACTTGGCTACCATGAATAAAGATCATCGCACAAAACAATACCTGTTGCTTTTATAAATGGAGACGTCTCGAAAAACTTTTTGAATCTGTTTGCGTTAGACAGTATCTCAGATATTATTTTGAAATAAAACTGCCATTTGCAAACAAACAAGATCTCTTAGGTTGTGAGCCTTGATATATGATGCTTAACGATCTGCAAACAACAAACCACTGTGTGAATAGGCTCTCCACTCTCGTTCTCCTGTCCTCCTGTTCTCTAGAAACCAAAGGGTTTATATAAAAAGGTCTCCTTGATAAATATATTACCATTTGCGAGCTACCATGAAGCGTGACGCGCCAAACCAGTTTTAAAACGTTTGAAACTTTTTTTTTTTTTTTGCTAGTCAAAACTGTCAAGTTTGTGGCGACATAATTTCGAAACGGCGCGACAAACTTTTTCTTTTCTCGAAGAATCTTCAAAGTTTCAAGTAATATATTTATGCGAAAAGAATATATTTGTGTCATCAGTAAAGAATAAAGCATTTGATAAACGTAAGACATTAGGGAGATCATTGATATATTAAAAAAAAGTGATGGAGCCAAAATAGATCCTTGAGGAACCCCACATTTAATTGAAAGCTCAGTAAAAGACATATCCTTGCGGTTATTAAGGTAATTTCTTAGCCATCTCAAGTCTAATCCTCGTATACCATAATGCTCATGAAGTTTAGTAAGAGGTATTGAAGAAATAGAAAACGCGCGTGCGTGTGATGCGTTTTCTATTTCTTCTGCTTTATATAACGCAGGGGGTTGGCAGAACACGAAAGAAGTGTTAGGAGAAGAAGCTCGAAGCGCAGCGGAGTGCTTCTCAACACTTCTCGAGTTTTCTGCCAAACCCCAAGTGCTGTATAACTTCACACACCAAAGCAAAAATACAAATTACAATAATTGCTAAAATGCTTTAACTCAGAGAGCATTTTTGTATGAAATTATCGAAATTCTCCTGTCCTTCTATCCCCTTCTACCTTCCTCCCTTTCTCCCTTCCTCCCTTCCTCCCTTCCTCCCTTCCTCCCTTCCTCCCTTCCTTTATAAGAAGAAATATTTCATCATTATTATATAAAGGGTGTCTGTTTAATAGTCTACTTATTGTTCTTTAATTTATTTTAAAAGATCTAGACTGAAAACACACCGAAACATACACTTAGTTGCATAACACGAACACATCAGCAGAGCTGTAATATCAATATCGTGTCTAAATAAATATCATTATTATCTTAATTGTTATGGTGTTTATGGAAGTTTTATACTCGTTTATATGAGAAAACATATTTTCATTTCATTGACAAACTTCAATTTCATATTACCCTAACCAAAGCACCTAACTAAAGCAAGCAATTACGATACGGCTCGCTGGCACGGCACATTGAAGATAGGGTTAGAGGCTTAGAGCTCAAAACTCTCAGGAAACTACACGAAACACGAACACATCAGCAGAGCTGTAATATCAATATCGTGTCTAAATAGTATCATTTATTATCTTAATTGTTATGTGTGTTTATGGAAGTTTTATACTCTTTTATATGAGAAAACATATTTTTACGCTCGCTGGCAAAGCACATTGAAGATAGGGTTAGAGGCTTAGAACTCAAAACTCTCAGGAAATTAAAATAGACCCCTTGCAGGATAATCCCAATGCTGACAATTTAGAAATCAAAACAATAAAATTTTACTCTCATGCATGACAATTTAAAATCATTGCCTTGTCATCTGAATTGAGCAGCTCTGGTAATTGCTTCGAGGAGTTTATGGGGTTAATACTTGGAAATCCGCCTTTACTTTCTTTGCAAAAAAAAAGACATCTTAGTTTTCTCCATAATCGTTTTACCCAGCAATTTAAAGAAAAAAATTCACAAGTTTTCTAAATCCATTAGATTTCGTGAATTAAATTTATGCAATAAAGAGATTCTTCAAATTGTAAAGGTTCACTGTTTACATAAAGAGAGAGATAATCTGAGGATTTCCATTGAGATCAAGCTCAAAAGTAGAGCTTAGAACTCCTTTTGTATTTTCCCATTGAGACATTACCTTTTCAGGTCGAGATCCAATAGCTTTTTACTGATTTTGAATATGGTTCATTGTGCCTTAGCTTCGGTACAAACATCTTTTGTTCATCATGGCCTTTTATGGTGTTATTGTCAATACCTAAGCTAGACTGTAATGCATTTTGTTTATCGAACTAATAAAAGGCTATTACATTTTGGCTTTGGCTTTATACTGTTGCGCTCGTCCTTTCAGGCAGTACAGAGTCAAGTTGGTCAATCAAAAAATTACCGAATCCTTCTTCAAAGCTAAGGTAAGAAAAGCAGCAAGTCCCAATTGACAATTTCCTCAACTTTTTATGTTTGAGTAGCAGAAAGAGATCGGAGTATTTTCCCCAATTGGTGTAAGCTAGGCAAATGGAATTTCGTGCAAGGTGGGGCTTTTTACTAGATGTACAATATTCAGTGATGATTCTTTATGTGTTACATAATTGCTAGTTGTTTTTACAGTGAGGTCACCCGACCCATGGACACTTCGAGTTTTTTTCAGGTTATTATTGCTTGAACTTTAAATTTATTCAATTTTACCACTCTAAGATGGTTAGACGGAAAATTTTACTGGTCTAGAACCCTAATTTAAGGCACCGATAGACTGACTTAGAATTTGGAAGTAGATTTTTGTGTTTCTTTCGATATTTCAATATTACGATAGATTTTATATAGCCTGCTGTCTCGAAAGAAAGTGTGCAATTGCTCCCTGGGTGATGGGAATGATTTTAAACGACTTTGAGTCACTATTTCCTCGTTTTTCTCTACATCCTTATGACTATTATATAACTTTTTTTTTTTTTTTTTTCAACTTCAGCCAGAATGATGTCCAAACAGCTGTTATTGGTTTTCCTGGTTGTGATGTTGACCGTATCTTTGTAAGTTCACTCAGCCATCACGTTGAATTCTAGTTCTCTTGAAGGACAATAAGGGCTTCAAAAAGTAATCCATCTTTTGAATTGACCATCAGCTTTTAATGTCAAAAATGTTAATGGATATGTTTGTAGCAGTCAACAAAAACCTGGAATTGAGTACAAATTATGGAAGAAGAGGCTTCAGTTCGATGATGAAGAATGTGGACCTACGGAATGCGTTGATAACGATGATTGTTGTGATGGATGGACGTGCCCAGACAACGGGTAAGTACGAGTACAATGAATATAAAGTTGATCAGTTACGAGATAGAAAAGAATAGCGCTGCAAAATGCTCTACCTCTCACTGCGCTGGCGATGACGCCGCTGAATAGTCGAACCGAGTCCCGGCCTCTTCATCATATGTGAAGAGGTTGCTTATTAGTTTCTTTAGTGGTTCCTTGGACCCAGCAATACATGTAAAGGGTTTTTATCCAGATTCTTGATGTAAAGGGATATTAATGGGCCAACTAGATTACTTTTAGCTGCTCAATAATGAGATTTTTTTAAAGAGAAGAAATTGATTTGTGATTTAGTGGCCTTCTGGCTTAGAACAATCCTAAAGTTGTTTTAGGGTTCTATCTGTGAGTTAGCCATGCCCTGAATTAGATCAGCCCAGAGGTACGTTGTTTCAGGGTTTGTTCTGTGAGTTAGCCATGCCCTGACTTAGATCAGCCCAGAGGTACGTTGTTTCAGGGTTCTATCTGTGAGTTAGCCATGCCCTGACTTAGACCAACCCAGCGGTTGTTACAGGGTTCTATCTGTGAGTTAGCCATGCCCTGACTTAGATCAGCCCAGAGGTTGTTTCAGGGTTCTATCTGTGAGTTAGCCATGCCCTAAGGTTGTTTCAGGGTATCGATAAATCAGTTTGATGCTTTTGGATTAACTCATGTTCTTTTTCACTTTTTTTCAGGGGGAGTTGTGAACATTAAACCTTAAAATCCATGCTGTCACGTGTGCCATCCAAGGATTGTATAAAACTCACCGTTCGGATAAAATGAATTTTAAAGAATAATAAATGATAATTAAGATAGATTCGTTATTCATTGGTTAAGATAGCTTAATGCATGTTTTATTTTTTTTATTATTACTACATTCTTTTCATTTAGTTTTCGGTGTATCGATAGTCACGTTATTTGAGACTTCTAATGTAGAAAGCCACATGCCAAATCTTTGGCAAATTTTAAAGGAAAAAAATTAAAATAAACTAATCGAACGACTTCAATTTCTAGTAACTCCGTTTTAATGTAATAGATTGTTAACTAGTTTTGGGTGCAAAATGTAATGATATTACAAATAATATTATTGCAAAATTCGAACAAAAAAAAATTAAGGTGAAAAATACATTTTTCAAAAAGCATAGACTGTACCTCGTGTTTTTGATAAATCAGAACTTTCGAAAAAATCTTTTTTTCTTTTTTCAAAAATAACAGATTTTGAAAATTAATGAATATACAAATATTTTCAAAAGGTGTGAATTTGAGCCAAAATCGTTCAAAACCATGGGCTATAGTCCATGCGTTTTGGCCAAAAAGACACATTTTCCAGGTTTCATGA